CCAACTTTCCCTTTGAAATGGAAAATCATGCCACAATATTTTACCTTATTTCACCTCAGGTGATGAAAACCGGCTGAAAATTCGTCCATCATACGGTAAGCATCATCAGAACTAGAACTCATTCCTGTGAAAGTGACTGGGGCAAGTAGACTAGCTGGCTCTATCTTACCTCAATTAAGCAAAAGAAAATTTAAAAAAATCTAGATAGATGGTCATTAAATTTTCCCACAATGATATGAGTAAAGCTGATGTTTCCATTTAATTTTACATAGTCTTGCTTTTCCTGGGAAAGCAAGGCTATGTGAAATTCAATGTAAACGTCAGTTCTACTCATTTGATTGTGAGAAGATTCAGCTACAAGGCCTTCATCACTTAAAACGAAATATGATGAACACAACTCATATAATATGTTTGGTTTACAATTAGGTTATCGAGACTACTAGTAGGTCATTTATATATGAAGTGTATTAACCTATTTCGTTTAAGGGGATTAAGTGAACAATAGTTTGTTCCCACAATAAAGTCAGTAGACCTTATATTTCCAATAAATTTAACAAAGCCTTTCTATCCCAAAAGCATTTCTCATCCAGGTGGGCTGCATTTCCCACCTCGCCTAAGTCTTATCAACACCCCCAGCAAGACTCGAACCATGACAATGCAGCGTATAATCTCGATGTGTTAACCGCTACGCCACATCGCCACGAGCGCCATTGTGTCACAGGGCAGATGTGAATTTCAAGGAAGGCCTGGCTTCGCCCATATCATATTATATAATAGCAAATTTATATTTGTTATAGCACTTAACTACATTACTTATGAAAGATATGAAGACCAAGATGGAGTACTCCTTAGTATGATCTCAGTTTCCTTACGATTTAGAGAACTGGGTGGGCCTCGTTTTTGCAACTTGGTCTTGTTGTTAGGACACTAAGTTGAATGCACCTTGTACGAATTCCTCTGTCATAGTATTTATCATAATTCCCAACATCAGGCCGGGGACTTTAGTATTTTATTTCACGATGAACCATTGGCCGCTCCGACAGCAGCTATGTCAAGCTTTCGTCTCGCATGGAGGCCATTATAGAGCAAATGAGAATTTATATACCAACTTTGCTCTTGCACTAACTATCGATAATTGAATTTCATTTCGACCTGCAATCTATAGTCTGATAAACACCCCCAACGGGCTTCTACATGAAATACATGAAAATGTAAGGTTTACTAATATGATTGTGAAAAAAATTCAACGACTCTTATCACCTTAAACGAAATAGGGTAAATATCCCTCATATATAAACAATAGGTAGTACTTCAAATGAGAGGGTTGCCTATTGCCCTGTACCACTAACGGTACATGCTGCACTATTTACCACTTTTATGAAACTGAAGAAATAACATCTGAATTTCACCGTTGGGCTGAGCAGCAAAGGCATAATTAAACCAACTTATTTTAATATTAGTACTAACTTCAGCAATAGTCATATATATTCATTCTTTTAGGTATTATTTATATATGTGTGTGTTATGAAATACGTTTGTTTTAAGTAGATATATAATCATTTAATATAACATAATAAAATTACATATATCCTTAATACCGATTCAATTCCTAGCACAAACAGAAGGTATTACTAAAAATGCAACAACTATTTGTGCAAAGGGTTTGTTTACGTTATTTTGAACGTTAAGTAAATTAAATTAAATTACCTATCAATATCACACTCGGCATGAGTGGTGAAGGCAGAATTAAAATCTTTATTCTATTATGAATTTTAATGCGATCAGAAGTTTATATTTGCTCTATGTATCTATCTATCTATCTATAATTAAATATTCGATATGATATTTAGATATAAGAATGATTATTTCTTTTGAAATAATATTTATTATTTATTCAATGAAACGAATATATATTAAGGATTTTTCTAGTTGTAATTAAAATTTTAATCTAACATAATATAAATATACATAGCCTTGGGACCTACTCATTTCCCGTAACAATTAATAGATATTACTGTAAATATAAGAGCTATATGTTACCCTGTAGTAGCAATGGTGCATGCTGAATTATTTATGTCTCTAAATACGTTTTTAGAAAAAGCCTCTTTATTTCAATGTTGGGTGATTAAAACAATTTATTTTAATACATATACCAGTAGTAGTAGTAGAATAATTATCTTTTTTGATAGATGGATGGATAGATAATACATATATAATTTATATTTTGTATAAATATATGTATATTTGCAAGAATACCTAATATTTGCGCTAGGAAATGGATAATTATTAAGGTTAATATAATTATATAATTAAAAATTATGACAGTGTAATTATAGTTATCATTAATACATGGGGTAAAAATAGGTATTACTGCAAGTGCGAGGTCTACTTTTGGCCATGCAAATGCATTTATGTTCATTCCTTAGGAGAACACATGAACGATGAGGCCTCTTGTTTATGTGTTTCGGTACACGTGTGGAATTATCTTGATAGTTAAACTGAGAGGCGACCTCTTACCAGTCATTTTAACCTACTGCCATCTTTGTATTCATGGCAAACAGTAAAAGAGCTATGCATAAAATGGTCAAGATAAAATGTGAAATGATGTATTATCTGAGAAAGAGTTGAAGATTTACACCATAAAATTTTGTTGGTGGCAAAATGTCACAACTCAAACTCCTTACCAGATTATCTTGCTCTCAGGTTATTATGATAATTTGTACAAGTTTACAACAAACTACTCAATAATGCAAGATTTGTAACGATGTTTGAAGTTTAAATCTTAGTGTGTCTAACTGGACTGAAGTAATGACTCTTTTGAGACGTCTCTGAGCTATTTGCCCAGTTCAGCAAGTTAATTCACCTTCCAGATATGCTACCCTGTAGTCTGTGCTCGAAAGTTCATGCTCAAGCAAGACGGTTTCACGCTCCTCGCCGTCTGCCGGCTCTCCTCGCCTCCATCGACGAGAACCTTCCACGACCTCAAGTTCTTGTAGATGGTCCGAGAAGATCAATCTCTCCTCTTGACAATTAACCTCCTTATCTTTCAGCGCCCCGACCCTTTTCTTTTCCGCTTTCTCTTGCCTGACAAGCTCTGTCTCCATGTGGATTTCCCGACCAGGGCCAGCCAATCCTTCGGGCCGATTGTACGAAGCTACTTTTCTGAGGTTTCTCGAGAAGGCAGGCTGTGACGCTGATGTATTTCCCGGCAGTACGAGACGATCAGACGATTGGTAGTCAAATAGGTCAGCGATGCTCGAATCTGCCAAACTGACCCCTTTTTGTTCAGGCTCGACCCCGTTGCCCGCCAGAATTGCCAAGCAGATCAGCAGACAGAAGAAGCGAAAGCAAAGAAAGGTGGATGGATTGGTGAAGAGTACTGACCAGTCGCGTCTATGGGGCCGAATTTGGGCTTTTTTGACCAAAATTTGGCCAATCGGCTGGCCAAGTGAATGGGCCCCGGCCGCAAAAAGGGACAGGCTATTGAGTGATGGCATTTTTCGCAAGCCTTCTAAAAAAGATTAAACGGAAATATATAATATAAGAGCACCAATTATGTGGACCCCACTAATTAGTAGTTAATACCTAATTTAATTTTAAACTTCTCATTTACTTGATCAGGAATGTTTGTGTACCTAGACACAACATCATATCTTACTAGTCTATCTTCCTCTGAAAGTGTCTGCCTATCAAAACATTTAACAAAATCATAAGAATTGTTAAGTGAATATAACAAAAAATTGGCAGTTTTCCTTAGCCGTATGCATAAAAACACGAGAATTTATGCATCACGCTTCCTATATTATTTAAAATTAATCTAAGACGGACACCCTCCTTGCGAATCTAAGAGAGACTATAAGCCGTGATTATC